TTGGTCCACCATTCAGCCAGATCCAGATGACCATGAATTATTTCAAAACCTTAATTGTGCCAGTGGATAAGGGAACACTTCTGAATTCCTCCTATGAGGCCTTTATTGCCCTAACATTCAATTGCTGTCAGAAATTTCATAAGAAAACTACAGACGAATATCCCTCTAATTATAGGCATGTCCATGCGCATGGGCACACATATACCTATCCCCAACAAAATATTGACAAAGTGCAGAAACATGGAGGGCAGGGAATATAGCCCAGGGGCACTGACCCTGCCTGGCAAGACAGCTAGGGCCCGAGTTTGATTCTCAGCACCAAAAAAAAGAAAGAAAGAAAATGTGTATGTATATTTACCAAATGTTATTTATCCCCATGCACAAGGTTGGTTTAATATCCAAAACTCAAGTAATATAGTATACTGTGTTAATACAGTAAGACACAAACACTAAAATTCACACTAATACCCACAGAAATAACTCTTAGTAATAATCCAACATCTTTCACGATTAAAAAAAAAAAAAACTCTCACCAAACTAGAATAGGAAGAAGTAACTCCCAGTCCAACGAAGTATCTGTGCTAAAACATACAGCAAACATACTTAATAATAAAATATTCTGGTTTAGGATTTTTTTTTTTAGGGTCTCAATATATTTTTCAGGCTGGCCTCAACTCATAGCAATCCTCCTACATCAGCCTCTCAGGGAGGGAGAAAGGAAGGAAGGGAAAAGAAAAAAAAAAAAATGAGAAAAGAAACAAAATGGAAACAAAGCTTCCTAAATAAATAAGCTCTAAATAAAGCTTCCTAAATAAAGTGCATGTGCCACCTTATGTGGCCTAAAAGCCATCTCCTCTTGTAGATAACATGATCCTTTATGTAGAAAAATCCCATGAAACTCTAGTAAGACTAGAATTACTATATTGCACAATGATGCGTTGTGACACATGTAGAAAACTCAACTGCTCGCCAGATAGGGTGGAGGCACACCTGTAATTCCTGCTCTCAGAAGGCAAAAAGGCAGAAGCATTGCTGTGAGTTGAGGCCAGCCTGGGTTAAATAGTGAGCCCCTGTCTCAAAAACACCAAAAAAAAAAAAAAAAAAAAAAAAAACAAAAAACTCTGCCTGAAAGAGTCTAACCCCATACCCATTCATGATTTAAAAAAAAAAAAAAAAAAAAAAAACCCTACAGAAAAATGGAATAGATGGTCTTTATCTCAACCCAATAAAAGCCATCTATGACAAACCAACAGCCAGCATCATACAAAACTGAAAGCTTTCTCTCTAAAATCAGGGGAAAGACAAGGATGTCCATTATCACTACACTTATTTAGTACTTCTGGAAACATTAGCCAGAGCAATTAGACAACAGAAAGAAATAAAAGGAATTGGGGCTGGGGATTTAGCTCAGCAGCATAAGCACCTGCTTTGCAAGCAGGCGGTTGTGAGTTCAATCCCCGGCACCAATATATATAAATAAAAGGAATTACAATAGAAAAGAAGTTAAATTATCATTATTGGTGGATCACATGATACTCTGTATGGAAGACTCCAAATTCAGTAGCCTAGCTGGATACAAAGTCAGCACTCAAAAATCAATAGCATTCCTGTAGACAAGTAACAAACTCAACTGAGACAGAAATTTGGGAAACAATATCTTTCATAATAGCATCCAAAAAATGAAATACCTAAGAATCAATCTAATGAAGAAAGTAAAAGACCAATGTGTGGTGAAAACTATAGTACTCTGGAAAGACTGAAAAAACATGGAAGATGGGGTATGATGCTGCATGCCTGTACTGCCAGCACTTGAGACACTGATACAAGAGGATTTCTGTGAGTTTGAGGCCAGACTAGGTATTTCCTTGGTGAAATACGAAGAAATTTTTAAAAGAAAAGGGGAACAAGGGGAGGGAGAAAGGAAGGAAGGGAAAAGAAAAAAAAAATGAGAAAAGAAACAAAATGGAAACAAAGCTTCCTAAATAAGGAAGGGAATTGCAGTTGAGGAGAGGGGACGGGGATGAGAAAGAGTCAAAGCATATTATGTACAGATACAAGTTCCCTCTGGTAAATGTGAGCATTATGTATACCTAAAGTGTACGAATAAACTTAATAAAAAATTAGGAAAAAGCTGCTTTCCTCTAGCAAGATATCATGAAAAACACATCACAATATTATCAAACAACAAAATGCTTGGGAATAAATTAGCCAGGCTTGATGGGGCATGCCTGTAATCCCAGCACTCAGGAGGCTGAGGCAGGGGGATTGCTGTAAACTCAAGGTCAGCCTGAACTACATAGTGAGATTCTGTCTCAAAAAGACAAAAAAGTGTAAGATTGTACACTGAAAAATGTAAACATCACTCAACCTTCGCAAGTTGAAATAAACACACACTGAATGTTCACAGGTAGATTTCATATTATTAACGTGGGCAATGACCATGTTTTAGCAGTTCCTTTAAAGATACATCTCTGCTGGGTAATGAGTCTGTAATAAAACATTAACTTCCAATGTCACAGCCTATAGTAACTGCACAAGCATCGTCAAATAACCCAATGGCTTGGCATATCCTACAGAATATTCCTTCCTATCTAGAGGTAATATCAATGGCACCTTTTAGTACAAACATATGTATTTTTCCAACCCCCTTGCACAACCCTACTGGGACTTTTTTTTTTTTTTTCTTTTAACAACACCAGGAACAATAAACCCTATCAAAAGAAAACATTACTCAGGCTTCAAGCATTTGGCCATTCTCAAAATTGAGATGGACTGGATACAGGGCTAACATCAGACCTCCAAATGATAGAGGGAAATACAAATATCCCAACCTGTCAGATGGCTGACATGCTGAGCTGGTCGTGCTCCCCAAAATGAAAGAATCAATTCAAAGGAACACAGGTAAAGAGTAGGAATTTTTATTGAGGAGATACAGCTCCTGCCTGAGACAGGAGGGGACCCATAAAGTGTGTCGCTGAAGGCACTTTTCAGGGAAAGTTTCATAGAGCAAAATCACAAGGTGGGAACAAAATCACGAGGTGGGTACAAGATGGGGCAAAACTGTGATCAACTGGTAAGGTTCCAAGTATAGCTGCTTAGACAATGGGGAAGCAGGTCCTATAGCAAGTGTGTGTGGAGAGCACAAAGAACTTTTCAGGGCAGGATGGCTCCAAAGGGCTTAGTCACTCACTGTGATGACCAATGTCTAGATAGACTTCCTTACACCAGATGTTGCCACTTATGCCTTAGGGCGCCATGTAGATCCGGTCATTCCATCTTGAGGCCTGGCCTCCAACAGATGTGCCTCCAGCCATAGTTTGTAATGGGTTTTTATATATGTACTACTGACCATGGAGGCCCACGACCTGTATGACTAACCACAATGTTTCAACCTATCAGCTGTTATCAGACAGACAGACACACTAAAGCCTGAAGACCTGGTACAGCATTCCTGAGAAAATGTTCCTGTACTGCCTCCCTGGTTCAAAACTTACAGTAAGGCCCATATCCTGCTCCAGCCACTGCATTTCTCTGGGAATCTGCATACTACTCTCTTACGTGTGTTATCAATACACTCCTAACTGTTCTATATTCCTCTGCGAGTAAGCAAATTCTTTTCACCTCCCTCCTATACTGGAATCTGAGGAACAGTTTCTCGACCAAACAATGGATAAATGAGAGGAGAGTGATGCCCACCCATAATCCCAGCACTAGGGAAGCTGAGGCAGGAGGGCTCAAATTCAAGCACACCGTGGGCAAGTCAGCGAGTTAGGAAATATTTGTCTGAAAAAAACCATAAGGGGTTGTGGACTTGCCTCAGTGTGTGAAGGTCCCGAGTTTAAACCATAGTACCACCCCCGCCAAAAAAGCATGATTTCTGTTTTCTTGTAAGATAGATTGTGACTTAAAAGTGCAGGATTCTTTCACCTGGGCCTACAAATAACGAAAGTAAAACGAAGCTTTTATTTTGTAAAACTCAGGGTCACATTCTTCGCAGCTCTGCTGTATAGATGTGTTAATCATTTAGGAAGTGTATGCCTAAAAATCGCCTAACAAAGTTTATTGACCACCAATTTACCCTCCTTCGCCTTCGAATTCCAGATAAGGTCAGCAAAAAAGAATATCTATAGCACAATTTTCAGGGTTCAGAAGAACTTTCTCTCACTCTAGGCTCCGACAAGTCCAGCTCAAACCTCCCTCCCGACCCCCGCAGGCTGAGAAATCCAGACAGAGACCCCATCCTGGGCTGACCAGGGGGACCTGGCGCCTCTACCCGGCCCCGCGCGGGCCCTCGCCTGGGGCGCTCAGTATGAACGTCCGCCTCAGAGAGCACCCCTTCGGCCACCCAAGCCTCAGGACTTCCCCCTTGATTCGCACCTACCTGTTTGGGGACCAGCTTGGTCTTGTGCAGAGTTACGCTCCCTTTTCTCTTTTTTAAATATTTATTTATTTATTTAGGTACCAAAGATCGAACTCACGACTGCACACTTGCAAAGCAGGCGCTTATGCCGCTGAGCTAAATCCCTCGTCCCTTTTCTCTTTTAATTCAAGTTTTGTCCTGCACACTTGTGCTCCAGTTTTAATTTCTACCACCACTAAAGCGGGGAACCACACAAGGCAGGGACAGAGTAACACGAGGAGCAAAAGATGCTGCTTCTCCAAACTTCCTCCTGCCCGAGGCAGAAGCCGCCACCCCTCCCTCTGCTCCACCCGGAGGACTGGAACAATGGGCAGGTACTGGCCCCGGGGCTCGACCGTCCCTCACCCTCGGAAGGGGGGAAAGGGGCCGGAAGGACGTGCCGGTGGTCCGCTGTCCGTCCCCACGCGGCGCCCTCTGAACTCTTCCCTTGCACACCTGGACACTATGAGGGGCACCTGAGGTCCCACCACATCCTCGCAGCAGTTGTGTATAAAGTTTCTGCCTGTTCGTCAAATTCCCCAGGGTTCGCGGGTAGCAGCCAGCGGCCCGGACCTGAGCGTCCGGTAAGACCACAACTTACCGGGGATGTTCGCTGCCGGGAGCGGGGGAAAGCGCTGTTCCAGGAGGCTACTCGTGGGAGGCGTTCTGTTCCACCACCACCCAGTGGGAAAGTTGCCAGCCTGGGGCTGCTGCTGGCCTCCAAGGACTACAGGAGCCGGCTGCTGGCTGACGGCCAAGTACCAGAGGTTGTGGACTGTATATGCCATGAAGGGGCTGGAGCCTGCCAAGTTGAACATCCTGCAGCACACTCAGAGGTGAGCGCAGGGCAGGCAGGAAGTAGAATCCTTTTCTTTGCACGATGTCTCTCCAGCGCCCTCTACTGACAGTGTTTCCGCGCAATGGGGGTAAATCTTTAAAAAAAAAAAAAACGCGCGCCTGCATTCCCAGCACTCGCGAGGCTGAGACAGGAAGATCCCATGGCTATGCCCCAGAGCTACATAGTGAGACCCTGGCTCCAAAAACCAAATGCACAAAACAAAGACAATGTTGGGTTCAAAGCCAACCTAGACTACATAGTGAGTGTTGGTTTTTTTGGCGCAGTTGGGAGACACAGAGACAAGAAAAAAGCCTTTATTGCCTGCGCTAGAGGGCCGGAGGTGATTGCGAGGACCCTCAGAAAAGGCAAAGCTGGGGAGCGATTTTTATGAAGTTAAGCTGAGCATGGTGATTACGTGAGTGGGCAGGGCGTTGTGTCGGGAGAGGATTGCAGGATCTTTTGGTGCTCGCAAAAGAAGAGTTGAAAGTTTATTATGGGCTTGGAAGAACACAGAAGTTAGCCCTAAGGGGACGCGCTGCCGTTTTAGCGGCCGGTGCCTTGCTGGGCAGGCGCCACGTGGAGCTCGGCAGAGTCCCATTGCAGTGGAACCCATCATCCCGTCTGGTTGTTGTTACGGCTCCGCTCTCTCAAACTGCGGCCTCGTGACGAGGGGTGTCATGGTGGGGCTGTTACAGTCGTCAGGATGACGGGTTAGGCTCAAGTTTCTACGGAAACGCCAGCGGTCATGGCCAGGACAAGGAGTTCTGCAGTAGCCAAGGCCGGTATCCTGGATTAGGGAAATCTCCAAAACAGCAGGTTGCAATGAGCAGGATAAGGAACACTGTTTTTTGTTTTTTTTGTTTTTTTTTTTTTTTTTTTTTTTGGTCTTTTTCCTTTTTATCGGTACCGGGGATCAAACTCACAACCGCCTGCTTGCAAGGCAGGCGTTTATGCCGCTGAGCTAAATCCCCAGCCCCAGGAACACTGTTAATGGCCCCAATAGAGGGAGGAAGTGAGGAATTCAGGGTCCCCAAGGCAGGGGGGAGGGAGGGTTGGGAGTCCTATTGTTCTAGTCATTTTCTTTCTATGTACTCTCTAATACATTTTATCTTGTCCATGGCGATTTGGGGTGCTATGTCTCGGATCAGTTGGGGCATGCATCTCTTAGAGGGCTACCCTAGTTTGAGCCCCACGCCCCAGGAGCCCACTCTTAGAGTTTCGCTTGTCTCTGCCTTTGCCCTCATGCAACACCAGGCCACTTCGCCTCCCACAGGTGCGCCATTCCTCCTTCTGTGAGCTCCTCTCTCTCTCTCTCTCTCTCTCTCTCTCTCTCTCTCTCTCTCACTCAATCTCTCTATCTCTCTATCTCTCTTTCTTAAAATCATGGGCCCATGTCAGGACTCCTTCATATCCTTCGGGATGTCCCTGTCCTTTAGGTGATGACCGACAGGGACCAAAGGGTTCCACTCTCTATCACACCTCTGACAAGGGTGATGGTCCTCCTAGGGGTTGTGACCAGCTCCTGCTTTTGGCTCACCTTCAGTTCAGTCACTGTGAGAAATATTTCCTCCCGAACATGAAAACACACTCCACTAGGTTGTCTCTTAAAACCGAAACACTCTGGATCTCTGGAAGAGATCCACAAACCAGAACAACTGATCTTTTACTACCAGATGGCTTGGACCCAATACAACCGCCATAATGGTAGCTGCTGGTCTGGAGAAGGGTACTTAATTTCAACATCCTCTGCAACTTGAAGAGTAGTTATCTCCATTTTGGATAAATTTGGCCCTATCTCCATGTATTGATATGTAAAGAGTTGGCTAGGTTATCTCTTTATGCCTTCAATTGGGTTTAAGCAGTGTAAATTGGACTGGCTGAGGAGCAGATGTGTAATCTCTGAAGCAAAGTGACAAGTTGGTGTTAGTCCACCAGTGACTCCCCAAATACGCAGTTAAACCAGGAGGGATGGAAAGCCTTGCTCCACAACGTAGGCTGGGACTGAGCCTCAAGAAAGAGGCTATGACTTCCCAGCTCAAGCAGGATTGTACATCAGAATTGATGCACTGACCCCAAATTATTAGATATTACCTCAATTGTGCTATGCAGATTGTTCTCTTTGTATTCCCTTGCCCTCTGCTTATCCCAGAGGTGATCTCAGATCTCCTACCAAGCCCCAGTCACAGCAGGGAATGTTCAGCACTGGTGTGGTGACTAGTCACATGAAGAGATGACCGGGGCATGGAGTGCCTGGCAGGAAGCACAGTCGCCAGTGGAGAACAAAGTTGTGGCCACCATGCAAGTCCAGCTTTCCCAGCAAAGCACCCTGCCAAGCCCTCTGCAGAATGTTCCATCTGTGGTAGAGGTTTCCAGCCAGGAGAGACCTGGTATTCCTGGCTGGAGAGAAGCACAATGGATAGCACAATATACACTACTAAGACTCCTTGCTAAGGGCTGGGGATTTAGCTCAGCTGCACGAGCACCTGCAAGTACAAGGTTGTGAGTTTGATCTTGGTACCAAAAAAAAAGACTCCTTGCTGTCCCGGTTGAAAAGTACCAAGGACTGAACCCAGGGCCTTGTCACTGAGCTTACATCCCCACGCCTTTTCACCTTATTTTATTATTTTTCAGATAGGGTCTCACTAAGCCACTGATTTCTCTGTGGTGGGTTTGAATTTGTGACCCTCTGGCCTCAGCCTGCTACAGTGCTGGGACTGCAGCCTGCAGCCAGCATTCGAGGCTTCAACAAACTTAAAGGTACAGGGCTGACTGTGGTGGCACGTGCCTATCGTCCCAGAAATTGGAGATCTGAGGCAGAAAGATTACTGTAAGTTCCAAACCTACTTGGGTGACACAGTGAGTGCAAGGACAGCCTGAACTACACAGCAAGATCCTGACTCCAAAAAATCAAATAATTAAATAAGCAAGCTCAGTTGAAGTTCTGGAGAACTGCTAGCACTGGAAATTCTCCTATCTTTACTTGAACTATTAATAGGTGCCAAGAGTATCTCCAGTGATGAATAAATATTAGTGAGTGCTTTCAGTCTTTAGGGATTGTAGTGGTTTAATCAAGTATAGGAAAAGCTAATTGAAAAGAAGTCCAGATTTTTTTTGTAAATCTTTTTTAGACCCCAGTACCAAAAAAAGAAAAAAGAAAAATCTTTTTTAGACAGGATTTTACTAGGTATTTCAGGCCAGCCTTGAACTCACTTTGTAGTCCAGGCTGGCCATGAATTTGCAGCAATCCTCAATGCTTCAACCTCCCAAGTGCTGGGATTATAGGCATGTACCACCATATGTGGCCAAGATACTTGCTTTCTACTTGTATTTTTAGCTGAGAAATAGAAGTATCATTCTCATATCCAGGGCCTCTGTTGATTAGTTGAGACAAAAATAAATATAGTCTTCTATAGTTATAATACAGTCTTAGCTACTGCCTACACAAGATTCCCTAGCCATTTTGTCCACCCAGTCTGCTCTTCTTCCTCATCACTTACATTTCATCACTTGCCAGATTTCCAAATAAGACATATATGAAGCTGTCACAGACAGCTGAGCTAGTTAGAAATATTATAGGCAGTCAGATAAGGCTAGGCCCTCAAGTTAGCTGGCACAGAGAACCAGATGTCTTGTGACCTTGAAGGAGACACACATCTCTTGCTGTAGGTCAGATTTCAAAACAAAAGGCAAAATAAATGTAATCACATCCTTAAGTATAAATTTTAGGGATTAGGTATGGATCACCTTGAGAAGCCAGGAGTCACCATCCGAATCCCCTACAGAGTCACTGATCTGTAAAGAATGCTTGCTTGCTACGTGACTCACTTCTCCATTTGCTCCTGATTTGGTCAATTTTACCTGAACAAATAAACGTATTGGCTGACTGTAGTTCTGTCCTGCTCATGCCCAGCTGCCTTGCAAGTTCCCAGTTTTCTTTGCCTTAGACCCATGTCACCTCAGGGTTTTACACTATAAAAATCCCTAGAAAAGACAGAAGGGCAACCCACTCAGGACTTCTTCTGTCTCTCTCTCAGAAGTTTTCCCTCAATAAATATTTCTGCTCTTAACCCCTGTTGTTCCTAAAATTCATTCTTCAATTTTAGAGAACATGGACTCATACTGGCCAGATAGTAGTTCAAGAGTGTCATTCCCCTACATCAAAGCAAGTATTTAGCCCAGTTGTTTAGACACTGAAGCACTTTGCATATGAACTTGATTCATGCAAAAGCTGCACACATTGGCCTTCTGTTGTAACAGATCTCCGGGGAACTTCAACTGGCGCTCATCCCAGAAAAACCCAAAGTGGCAAGTAATCAGCCTGCAGAAGACACTGGGGCAAAGACTAAAGAAGGAAAGGAAACAAAAGAAGGAAAGTGGGTATGGTGGCACAAGCCTGTAACTGCAGTCAAAGGAGGCTGAGCAGGAGGATTGTTTGAGCTTCAGGCCAGCCAGGGGCACACAGTGAGTTCAAGGCCAGTCAGAGCTATATAGTGAAATCTTGTCTCAAAAAACTGAAATAAAGGGCCGGGGATATAGTTTAGCAGCACAGCGCCTGCCTGGCAATCATGAGGTTGTTGAGTTTGATTCCTAGCATCAAAAACAAACAAACAAAAGAACCTGAAAGAAACAAAAAAAAAAGGGGGGAGGGGGCAAGGCAGGCAACCTTTTATTTTTGGTCCCACGGCAGGCAATCTTGAATGAATTTAAATATTATTACAATGGATTCTACTTACTTTGGAATGACACCAAAATTGTTGCCAAATGGTTTGGAGGATGCTGCATGGAAAGATACCAGTAAAGAGAGAGACAAAGGATAGGCAAGAATTATATCTGAATGCCGGGCATGGTGGCACACATCTGTAATCCCACCACTGGTGAGGCTGAGGCTGGAGGATTGTTGCAAATTCGAGACCAGCCTGGGCTATAAAGTGAGCTCAAGGCCAGCCTGAACTGCATAGTGAGACTCTGTCTCAGAGAGAGAGAGAAAGC